TGCGTTTGGCGCGGTGCCAAACTCGTTCTCCACGAGTTGTTCAAGCGAGCAAATGACAATACTGTATCATACCTTTCGTATTACTTGTTTTCTACTGCTTTTTGTCGCATGCCCGTTTCAACAAGAAGGCAGAGAACAGCTCAAAGAGGGTGACACACTCATACTGGCTGACACGCCCAACCGTCCGCAGCGAAGTAGAGTGTACATCAACCGGACCTACCGTAGTGTTCTTGGCTAGAGGCTGCGGGACTCTCGTCCGAAGAAGGCCCTCAGCTTCTCCACCGTTTCACTTCATTTTTTCGACATTTCCCCACTATATAGCACCCTGCTGGCATTTTAGACCGAGTACTAAATTATCGTACCATATGCCTTTAACCTATTTGGTTTCATAGCCGGTTACAAGTTCGTTGATGCGGGCGAAAAAGCAATATCCCAACCAAATAGGGTAACCTCAGATCCACCATCAACTCCTCACCTAACAGAAGGGACCCAATAGAGCAAACGAAGCTTAACGATCGCGCAATGACTGCGATAAAGTGGGAATGCGTGGACACGTCTTCGTGCTAGACCTGGCGTTAATGTAGTTGGGGGAAGAACCGCAACTCTTCCTGGACACATCGTAAGCTGGGGATTCCCTGCGGGGGTGGGAGGAGGGGAATCGCAGAATTTGGTCGTTGGAGAGAGGATAGTATGTGCCTTTCTCGTGTTTATGAAGTTTTTGATACCGTTCTCGTTTGTTTCGACTCCGCGCGCTATCCTCCTACCTTACCTCGACAGTTTTAAGCTCGGGAAAATTGCAGGAAGTGTGAGAGTAAGGAAGGTGGTAGGTAAGGATGGAGATAACGCATGAGGTCGTACTGTAGGAGGAGATAATGAAGAGCGTATTTTACACGCAAGACGTGCTTTGACCTCTTTATCTTTTTCCCGAAAGTGCTTCCATAAGAGCGTAGACGACCAAAATCGTCCGGGGAGCCTTACAGAGAAGACTGAAACTCCACTAAGCTCATCCTTGGGTAGATGAAGGAATAGCCGTTGCCGAGTAGACTTTCCACCCCTCCCCTCCCAACTAGGTCAGTACATAACGGAATGGAGTGCAAGAAGTCAGAAATAATTGACGTGCACTTGGCCTGCTGCTCATTCTAGGACCATTCAACTTTATCTACATAGGTTTGTCTTTCTGGCACCAGTGTCATCCTCATAGGCCAGTATCGTATATTTCACGTCACAATCACAACTCGCATACTTTTACAGCTATTCGGCATGGAGGGGGCATTTCGCACTCGATTTTTTCTGATTGGGACATGTTAGTTCACGAGTCACCCTTGTAAACTTTCGTGAAGTTGCGAAATGGTGCATGTGAGCCACCCTCACAGGAATTTACAGGTCTTCACCAGGCGGCCTGCACAAGTGCAGCTGAGTACCATTCGGTGCCCCCACCAAGCCGGGATGCGTCTTCGAGAAAAAACAAATAACATCATAGGAAAGCAAGAAAAAGCAAAAAAAAATTTTCTTTCTCTCGCTCGTCACGCTTCATGTGGATCATCCTGTACTTTTTTTGAGATAACAAAGAGGCCAAGACCAATGTTTTCAAATATGATATAATATTTACTTTTCCAATCAACTATTCATTAAACAACTATAAAACAACTGTGATCGAGGTCTAAACATCATGGACACGTCTGAAAGGACGTGCTGTGACGGAATTCTTGGTCTAGACACAAGCGGCTCCAGAGATAATTTCAATCAATTCACGAGTAATAACGGCTTGACGAGTACGGTTGAAGGCCAACGTCAACTTGTCGATCATCTCTCCTGCAAACGCATTATACTTAGAATGTCTATTCGTACTCGGCCAACAATCTTGAAAACTAGTAAACATTATACTCCAAATTCTTACAAAAAACCAGTTAGTGAAAAACTGATCACTAAGCAATCAGAACTGGGAGATGGTCAATAAAATCGCGATTTGCCGCCCAGTCGCGCGCGGCGATGAGGCGGTTTTCGTGAACTGCTTTAGAATATTGATTGGTGCATCGAATTTCATACAGACAACTACATGACACACATTGTGACTATTTTTGGCAGTACATTGTCAGTTACCTAGACCTAGAAATAGCGTCATTTGCGAGCGCGACGTCGCACGTGACGCCCATCAGCGCGGCGAACTGTCTTGTCCCACACCCACTAGAATTGACTGCTGTGGCTTACTATGAAATTTGGAGACCCCCACCCCTCAAAAAACTTTTTTTGCTGAAGTCTTGCCTACAAGAGTTGAGTTATTCGGCCTCTCAGCACAAACAATCTCCATTTCCAGCGCCCGCTCGATACCACCACTTTTTCCACCGAAATCGGTATATTTGCATATCAGGTTTATCTGACGTCCTGGTTACGAGTATGACATTCATTCATGGCGCCAGCCAGAATGCCGCCGGGGCCGATCCTGAGAGCACAGTCAGTCCTCCCGATCCAAAAAAAAAACCAAAGCGATCCGACTGCGCCATATAAACACTCGAGCGACTGGACCGCAAAGTCTGAATGCGCTCTTGAGTTCCACCGGACGGCTTGTCCAACCTGGTCGGAGCCACGTGCTACCTATGCACTACCGCCAAAAATAATGCCACATTCGGGAACGGGGTACCCAGTAAACCCTCTAGACATGATTCCAGCCTCCCAAGTCACCATCAATCAAGGAAATTGTGGACGAAACCCACAATGCGTGCTTGCATGACCGAGCAGACACTCATTGCAAAAGGTCTGTGCCGTAAGTGTAATCAACATGAAACAAGCACCGATCCGGAATGTTTCAAAAAGCTCCAACTAAGGGTGCATTCATTTAATTTTTCGAGAACAAACAACGAAACGCTGATACGAACAAATCCAAGTCTAACGGACAATTTGGCCATGAGTTTGAGAAAAAAAGCGAAACTATGGAAAACGCTGACGATGTTATGAACCAGCAGCGAGAAACACTTTTGCCGTTGGGATATAGTGGTTCAATGCGCGCAGATTCAAATTTCATCTACATTTTTGGCAGTATCAAGAGTATAGAGCTTTTCGATGCTCAACTGGCTAGTGCACTGTGCTCTTTTGGTCAGCGAAATGTCTAGTTGCAAACCAACCCACAAAATAAGTTGGGATGAACTTGAGGTGAGAATTTTAGGTTTTTCGACACTGCCCTCACCCCCCCCCCTTGCCAGATGAGTAGATAGATGTTTGCTTTGAGGGCACTCAGGACAAGGTGAAGCTCTGAATTTCAACGCCTTTGACGCTGTTGTTGACCCGAGTGATGCACGCCAGCAATGGCACAGACAGCAAAACAAAAAGTGCGCGCTTTCCAAAAGATGGAACCAAAAACAAACAATCTGCTAGCCTACGTATTTAAGGGGGAAAAAAGGCTCCAGCATTGGCCAGAGCTAGAGAAGCGGGTCTCCACCGACCACCAGGAAAATAAGAAAAATGAAACAAGTACCACTACCCGTCCTTCACAAGGTTATTGAATGAACAAAGCAAGGAAATACATCAGGTAGTTATGCCAAAAACATTTGGAATAAAGTCTAGCAAACTTGTGTACAGCCTTGTTCGCTGCCGATGATGGGGCTGGTCAAGGGGGACGGGTTTGAAGCGGCAGTAGCTTTGTTCTTTCGCTAAGCGATAAACTGTATAATATCCTACGCAGCAGCCGTTGCTCACCAATCGTTGCTGCTTACCCGCCTCAATGACTGGTGGAGAGGGTGGGCGGCGTGCCAAACTCATCCCCCTCAACGGGCCCCATCATTCACAGTGATCAAAACTCTAACTAGTCAGGGTACAAAATGGCATCGTGTAAAAATTTGGATGAAGACGAGCACCACCCCCCCCCCTTTTTTTTCAAGTTTTCTTCTTTTGTGTGAGTTTCCCTGCCGCCAAAACAAGACCACTGTGTTGTTTCGTGAAGGGTGAACTAAATACCCTGTAACTACAACTTACCAGCGTTCTTTGATGCTCCGTCCATAGCGGTCATGCGAGATGCTTGTTCTGATGTGGCCGATTCCTTCATTGCATAGTAAATCAATTGAGCAAGCGAATATTCACTATATGATTGAAGAACATCGTCATCTACGGAATCGTACGTCAACAGATTTGGTTTCTGTTTGAGAGTCTGAATGAAACAATTTTTACTGCTCGTACCCTAGGTTATTTACACTACACTCTGAGACATTAGGCGCATTTCGAAGAGTCGCACGCGACAACGCGTGGAAAAGTTTAGAGCGCAACGCAACAGTTTCTCTGCCTTTCCTGCATAGTTTACAGTCTTCTCACTGATTTTCCAACTTCTTATTGAATATGAACTATAAATATGGACAAGAGCAAAAAAAATAAGCAGTAGCAAAATTTTGAGAGACATTCGCGGCGTTCGAAGCGAAGGTGCTCACATGGGTGCGCCAGAAAGTAGGGTATAGCGTAGTTCGCTGCGGATGGCTTGGGCGTGTCAGGCGGGATGAGTTTGGCGCGGTGCCAAACCCGTTCTCCACCAGTTGTTAAAGCGAGCAAATGATATGACTGTATCATATCGTTCGTATTACTCGTTTTCTACCACTTTTTGTCGCATGCGCGCTTCAACAAGAAGGCAGAGAACGGCTTTGACGGGGTGACACACTCATACTGCCTGACACGCCCAACCGTCCGCAGCGAACTAGAGTGTATATCCGTTCATTTGTTTTTGTAGGTACAGCAAATAACTGCCTCTCCCAGAAATGGAAGGGCTGGTTTTCTTAGATACGTTTCCCGAGGAATATCTCTATTTGAGACAATTAGGACTAGTGTTCTGCTAGCAATACGCATGACTGTAGTTGTTTTAAAAGGATTACGAGTTGCCTAGCTGCCGTCGCGTTTAAATGAAATATGCAGCCGCGCCCTCCCCATCTCGGGGATATAGAGTGTATCTTGAAGAGAAAACAAGCAAATGACTTTCAGCAGTGAAGGACTCATAGCAGAAATATTAAAAA